CCATGCAACTAAAATCTAGAGGATATTTTGAGTCAGCAAGAATATACAATAAACCATACATCTATTTTTTTTTTAAAAAAAAAAGAATGAAGTAGTAATAAAAACTCTCCCGACAGAGAAAAGCACAGGGCCAGATGGGCCAGATGGACTCACTGGCAAATTCTGACACACGTAAGTGGATGAGCTAACACTAACACTAAACAGAGCATTCTACAAAACAGAAAGGGAAAGTACATTATCAAATTTATTCTAAGAAGTCAGAGCTAGCCGAACACCAAGTGGATAAGGTTACAACAGTGACAGAAAATTATAGACCAATTTCTTTGATGAAAACAGATACAAAAGTTCTCAGTAAAATACTTTGAAATAAATTTCAAAAACACAATAAGAAAATCATAGTTTCTCCCCCATTAGTGCTCATGAAAGCAGCCATAATTGAATGCAGTAAAATAAAAGAAAAAAGAAAAGACCTTGTGCTAGATAGTGTCAGTTGTCAACATGACACATCATGACGTTTTCAAGATAGGATGCAACTAGAGATTATGTCAAATAATATAAGTTATACTCTGAAAGAAAATGTGGTATATTTTCTCTCATATGTGGACTCTAAATTTAAATATGTGTGTGTGTGTATGAAAATGCCTCAATAATAATCATTATTTGGTGTAGCAACTTAAAAAACAAAGAAAAAATAGAAATTTAAAAAGATATCAAAATACAAAATTAACATAATTAATAGTTTTTACAGACACAAAAACTGGCCACAGAATGCACTCTTAAAGAGAATTCCATTCATAGTAGCAGCAAAGAAGTTTAAATCCTTAGGAATAAATGTCACAAAATTGTTTTAAAAAAGAAAAAAAAATTTAAGGACTTTTGAGAGACACAAAATTAGACTAGACCAAAACTTAAAAGCATTCTCTGTTCTTGCATGTGAAAAGTACATTATAAAGATACCACTACAATAAAAATAACAACATCATTATTTTCATGGAATAAGGCAAGTTGATGCTAAAGCCAAGCATACAGGAAAATCATGAATGTATACAAAAGACTACAAAGGTGAACTAGTCCTACCTAACATTAAGTGATACAATAAATTCTCCATAAAACAGTGTTACTTCCCCCAAGAACAGACATACAGACAGTAGACTAGAATAGATCCTGAAGTAGAGCTAAGTACATATGGAGATGATCAAGGCGGCACATTATATCAAAGCAAATGTGTGCTTTTAAAGAAATGTTGTTGGCACTAGGGAGCCATGTAGAAGAAAAAAGGTCAGAGCCATTCTTCACACCATAAAGAAAAATAAATTTTTAGTTTCATTTCATCTCACGCTCCTAGTTCTTTAGGCCTTTGTACTTAACTAGAAGGCAATGTAACTCTAGGAAGGTTAATTTTTTTTCACATTGATCAAGAAATCAAGTATAAAAGAAAACAACCCTTAACTCACAGTACTATTAGAGAAAAAAGTAGGTGAAGTCTTCCATAAATTAATTGTAGGGAAAGATTATCTAATGCTAACTTTAAAATCTATTGAAAATAAAAGAAATTACTTATGAATTTGGTTACATGTTTTTTTCTGTCTTTTTGAGACAGGGTCTCCCTCTAGCTCCAGCTGTCCTGGAACTCACTATGTAGACCAGGCTGGCCTTGTGCTCATAGAGATCCACCTGTCTCTGCCTCCCAAGTGCTGGGATTAAAGGCATGTGCCACCACGCCCAGCGGTTACACATATTTTTAATGTGCATGATATAATATAATTGAATAAGCATCAAATTAGAAAGAAACATTTGTAACTATGTTATTCTTAAAAGGCTAAATCCCTGATACACAGAGAACTTGTAACATTTGAGGGGAAAAAGACAAAGACTTCTGATAGAAAACCATAAAAGAGATATAGGTTCTGCGGTTGAACATCCCAGCGGTTACACATATTTTTAATGTGCATGATATAATATAATTGAATAAGCATCAAATTAGAAAGAAACATTTGTAACTATGTTATTCTTAAAAGGCTAAATCCCTGATACACAGAGAACTTGTAACATTTGAGGGGAAAAAGACAAAGACTTCTGATAGAAAACCATAAAAGAGATATAGGTTCTGCGGTTGAACATCAATGTCAGAGAGAGAGAGAGAGAGACACACACACACACACACACAGAGAGAGAGAGAGAGAGAGAGAGAGAGAGAGAGAGAGAGAGATTCAAAAATTGAAAACGGCACTAAGTCACTAAGTCACAACACATTAATTATGCAATGAAGAAAAGCAGATGAGTCCATTAATTGAACATGATGACAGACACTGGTACCTACCAACATCCCAATTGTATGGCTCCCTGGAATACAAGAAGCAACTCATGAATTTAAGGTCTAAATCTCTGAATGCCAGGTTCTCTGTTAACCTACAGCTGAGAGCATTTTTAATGCACACAGTCTGGGAATCAGATTAATCATTATTATTTCAGAAAACTTAAAAACATTAATAATTGTATGCATTGGATTGGGTCTTCAGAAGGGAAAAAGTCAACATGAAAACAAGAAAAACAAGAATGGGTGAGAAGGCAAGACAAACAGAAAACACAGCCTGTGTTTTGAAGAAACTAGATATTGTGCCACTTCCCTTATCATCTGTACACTTTGAATAGGAAGGAGAAAAAGTAATTCCTGAAGCACTGGACCTAAAAGATCTTGATGGCTCTAAGATTCTAGTCTGACAATGGAAAAATGAATGTGGAGATCAAATAAAGCCTAGCCATTTGTTTTAAAATTGTCTAAAACGTAGACCCAAAGACAAGGCCTGAGCGTGTGACAGAGGAAGGAAAGCAGATGGCAGGTGAACTTATGAGAGAAAACACAGAACTACCTGGATCTCTTTTCACATATAATAAAAGGCTATGCAGATAAAATTGTTTTATCTTTAATAATAGCCTGCTTTATTGTTGCAATTTAGGCAGTTACAGTCAGAGAAATGAGATTCGTTGCTTACCTTGTTAGAATCTTGGCCTCTCCTTTTATATTTTACTATTTAAGTTCTTAATTTAAATATGATAGGTGATGGTAAGATGTCTGGTGGTTGTTTAAAACTCACAGAAAGTGGTTAAAATGAGACTAAGCAGAAGGTGCTAGTCTATTACACTGATTGTATATTCTAGAAAATGCTAAGGTGTGTTGAAAGCTATTTGTTTCCTGCTACATAAAATATGAGAAATGAACAGAAGATAATGATATGAGAAGCATGATTTTCTTTGCTGTGTTCATACAGAGATTTTCATTTTAAATGAACAGGAACCAAGAAGAATCTACAAAAATGCACTACAACATACCCACACTTCAATCATCAGTTCACAAAGGCGGTTATATCCAATATGGAAACATGTCAGGGTTTTTCAAGAGACTTCCCATCATGCAAGAAAAGGTCAGGAAACCTGCCCATGCACCTCTGAGAACATGCTAGCATCATCCATGCTTGAAAACATAGAGTGAAGTTCGCAGGTACCCAAGTAACTGGTTTTTATTTCTAGAAAGCACTGCTCTAAAGCCATAGAAAGTCTGATAGGCCTGTTAATCTGTTCAGTCATCTTGGCAAAAATGGTTTGTTTTTCTCAGTAACTATGAAGACTTGAGTTTTCATTCCATTTCAAGTCTTTAATTCTTCAGTCCTTTTGACCCAACTAGATGGCAATAAGCTAAGGATTTTAGCTTCCTTTTTCTAGATCATGTCTTTTGCTCCTTCCATTTAGCTTCATGAAATTGTTGGCTATTTTTTTCCCTTTTTGCTATTCACATAATAAATATTTGATCTTGCAACTAGATAAGACTCCACTAGCCCAGAACACAGACATCCAGGAGGTTTGATTATACATAATGCAATTTATAGGGAATGAATAAGCAAAACTGAACATTAAAGAGGAAATTCTCTGCTATTTAGTGCCTTTGTATCTATTAATGATTTCAATATGAAATGGACCCTCAAAACTCATGTGTTGAATGTTTGGTCCCCAATGCAATGTTCAGGGAGGGAGATTTAGGGGATTATATCATATGGGCTCTTATGTAATCTACAGATAGATTCACTGTTTGATGACTCTATTGAGAGGTGGTCAAAACTCAGAAGTGAGGTCCTATTACAGGAAGCAGGCCACAGAGGGCAGACCTTAACAGTAACCCATCATCCCTACTCATTCATGGTCTGTGCTTTCCAGCTGCCACAAAAGAACAGCACTGCCCCTCTCTGTTGTGTTGTTTCACCGGCCCACAATTAAGCTTTGTAACCATGGACTGAAAGTTCTGAAACTGTGAGCCAAAACAAACCTTTCCTCCTTTAATTTGTGGTAACTTACATTTTGTCACAATAACAAAAAGCGACTAACATACCATGCTTATTTTAAAGGGATTTCTGAGTTATTTAATTCTGACCATTTCATTAGAAACAGAAAATATCAAATTCTGATTTTCTGAGGAAAAACCAACAATAGTTAATGTGGCAGGAATAGACATGCCCAGTTGTGAAAGGGGTAGAGACTGGTACAGATATGAATCCAAAGACCAGTAAGCCCATGATACAAAGAGTACCATTTGTTAGCCACATATGCAATAAAATCATAAAATGATAAAATTGAATTGGAAGAATTCTAGAAAACTAGCCGCATATTCCCATTGTAGAAATTGCTCCCACAAGACCCCTTCCACTGCATAAAAATAGCAAGGACTCGTTGTATTACAAGGAATATTCATAAAATGGTTTTGTTAAGATTTAGTTTCTAAGTCGTTTGCTGTTTCTCTGTATCTCCAACTTATTGATTCTGATTCATTCATCTTAGCATCTATAGAATAACTATCCTAGCTCATTGACAGTATTTCAATGATAAACTGTATCCACCTTCTAAAATCCATCTGGAGAAAGAAAGCCATGAATGAAAATAGAAATGCTTTACTTATTGTCTTTCCTTTGATCCCATTTTCTTTCTGCGTTCCCAGTCTCAGGATCACTTACCTGAATCACACCTCCCAAGAAGGAAACTGCTGCTGCAACGCCGATTCTTTGTAACTCAAAGTCAGATAAGCCCAACACACTTGAGTTACTCTGTGTGGTGAGGTTTCTGCTGCTTTGAGGGACTAGCCGTTCCACAGCATTGGCTGATATTAAAGATGTCAAAGCAAAAGTGCCTAAAAAGGGGAGTGATACAGGGAGTCTTCTGTTATTAGCTTTAAAAAGTTGTTGGATTCTACTATTAATACTAAAACTATATTGAAGCACCAACTAGAGCTGTTAGAAACATGCTGTATTCTAGTACTCTCTGTTTCTCTGCCTTTCAACCCACTCCATGAAAGAAAGATTTCCCTATGTACACAGCACTCTGACTGGCAATGATACCCACCTGCCTGCCATGCTTTCTGACCTATATGTTCTTCTGCCTCTCGGCAGCTGGCATACAGAATATCTAAGGTTCAGGATTGGTCTCTAGATTTATAGCCAGCCCCTCAAAATACTGACAATGTTACCTGAAGTACACTTCCTGGGTCCAAATTACCTTATCCACTAAATGATGGTAATAATATTCATACTTTAGGGTTTGAGGAAAATATAAAGCAGAAAAGTTTGAAAACCTCAGTGGTTAAATATAAACCTGTTGGCCCTTCCAATATACCAGAACAGTCTGAACTTATCTTTCAAGGAGTGCCTCAAATTCCATATTCACAAAGATCCATCCAGTTGCTCTTGACCAGGCTATATGCTTTCTACATGCTCTGATTTCATAACTGAGTATACCTTTATTATCATGAGGGTCCATAAAACAATTAAACCCTCCATGTCTGCCTATTATTGTTGGATAGTGCTCAATGGCTATGTCCTGGGAACTGTCAAAGCCTTGTATAGTAGCAGCATGTGTTTATTGTGCTCTCTTCTTTCTGACAAGAGTTCTACTGCCTTTCATCTTGGCATAGTTTGCTTGAGAATGGAGGAACACAGATGAGAGGTGCAGATTCCCACAGAAAAGGGCAGCAAACTCGGCTAACAGAAAAACACTGCAGCATTTTGTAAGCAACCCCCCTTCTCCAATTCATTAAAGACCTTACCTTGCCCCAAGTCATTTGTGAGGCTTTGGAAAAATGGCCTGTGCAAGATGAAGGTAACCTAGCACAGAACATGCAGCAGTGTAGGGTCAATAGAGCCTGGTTTCAATGGAAGCCTGGTGTACAATTTTCTTGCCTTTTAGAGAAGTTGGTAAGTATGATAGACATAGTAAAGTACATGTTGGGGTGAGGAGATTCCAATGAACTTGACCTTAAATCCCAGAAGGATTGTTACTTCAATCTCCTTATCTATAAATAATTTTCATTCTTTGTCCTATAAGATTGTTAAAAGGCTTAAATGGTATAACAAAATATAACATAGCACCTAATGACATGTAGTAAGCACCCTGTAAATGGTAATTATTCAAGCAATTCTTAGATTAAAGCAAGAATATTCTGCTATGTTTATTCTCTGAGAGTTGATGGTACACAAAGAAAATTGAAAATAGTTCTGTCAATAAATCAAAAGCTATCAATTGTTATGAAAATTGTACTCAGCATAAAGAGTTAAATTAAGAACAAATCTGAAAGCTAGAGACCAAGATTCTGGTATTCAAGATAGACAACATCAAGTAAAGAACATCTACCTCAGAACTTTGTGATAAGACATACATTAAAGCAAGATAGCTCTGCTGAGATCAAACCAGATGCCACTAAAGCAAAAGTTAAGCCATTAGGTCTTTAAACTTCCCAGAGCATAGAGCAAAATGCTTTATACAGAGGGCACCGAACAAATGACTATAGATTTTTAAAGAAATATATAGATAATTTTTATATTTAGGATTATCTTTCTTGCCATTTTGGTAGAAGATGGAAAGGAATTGATTAGGGAAGAAGGGGCCGTCTAAGAGGCTTTGTTGGGAGAAAAAAAAATGAACCTCAGCTAGCTATAAGAGCATTGCTGCTGGCAGGGATGCAACTTTGGTACTCACCAGCCAGTGCAGCACAAAGAGGTGGGCTTCAGTGAAAGTGTGAAGATGTGGGATACAGTCACGGAGGTGGGCTGCAGTGAATGGATGGGAACATGTGGATATTTTACCTTCCTATAACCTCAACATTGACTTTATCTCTTCCCTACAATCCCCCCATTTTTCCCCTTATTTCCTCAACTTTTTATTATGGTTAAGATTTATGCCTACCAGTTAAAACACTAAATAACACAAACCTATCAAGTCATTTAATACTACCATGGGTCTAACAGGAAGTGAATACTAGTCCCCGGTTTTTGAACAGGCCCAAGTTCGAATCCCAGTTATGGTGAATATTAACTCCTCTTAGCTTTAAAATGATAAAATGTCTAGTAACAAAATTTGCCCAGAGAATAAATGAAATTTCATAAATAAAAAACATTTCTCACAAGCCCTACCATTTTGAAGGCTTTTAGCAAATATTTATTTTCTTTTTTAAATATTTTATCATTTTTATTTTATGTGTATGCATGTATTGCCTGCACGTAGGTAACTGCACCCGTGTCATGCAATGCCCGCGGAAGACAGAAGAGACCATCGGACCCCCTGAAATTGGAGATACAGCTGAGCTGTAAGCCCCGCCCCCGCAATCCTTGGAATCGTTTTATTTTCTCCCACCCAATACTTACACCCCACTAATGATTGAATACTGGGCCTTGAACTTACCAAATGCTGTTCCTCTGAGCTATAGCCCTGGCCCTTAGTTTGGGAGGGGGGTGTCTTTGCTTGTGAGTGAGTGTGTGTGTGTGTGTGTGTGTGTGTGTGTGTGTGTGTGTGTTTTAACTTCCCAAACTGATTTTTATCCCTAAAAGTTCAATTAGGTGATTTACATTTTCTTCAGGGCACAGCAAATGTACACTGAGGTTGCAGAAGAGTAATACAAAAATGATGGAAAACCTCCTGTGCCTGAGAATGGGAAAGGTCCAACATCAAGGCCTGGGTGCCCAGGACCATGTGTGGAGTCAAGGCCATAGCTGGCCATCAAGGGAGTAGAAAAATCCATTCTTGAGAATGAGTTCTCCCAAGACTAGAATCTGCAAATGACAGAAACCTCCACTGTCCCTAGTATAAGCCAAACACTGAGGCAAAGCCACTGTCATGCACAACCTGGGACCTCAGTGGAGGGGGTTGGGGAAATAGTCATCCAGAGAAGGCTGTGGTCCCTTCCCATGCGCTGAAACTGTGGTCTCCTCCTGTGAGGTAGGGCAGTGATGCCCTCCTACGAGTTGGAGCTATAGTCTCTCCAATGAGCCAGAGCAGTGGTCCCCCTTCTGTTAATCTGGAACTGTGGCTCCCTCCTTTGAGCTGAGGGTGTGGTTCCCTCCCATGGGTCAGAATTGTGGTTTCCTCCTGTGAGTGGGAGCTGTGGTCCCCTCCTGAATTACTCTTTTAAGAGATGTATAAACTTAATGTAGCTGCACTTGCCTACACTAAGTCTGCAAAAGAATGAACCTGTCAACAGCCGACAGTGGGTGGTAGAGGGGTTCAAGCTGCCTTGCTCCCTTCCTAGTGAACTAGTAGCCATGATAGACCATGGGAACTGGAGGTTCATCAGTGTCATGAGTAACCACTGGTGAGTCCACCAGCCTTCAAAGGAGAGTTTCAAACCCACACAGGTTGCCCTGGCTAAACCCATGGGTGTCAAAACAAAAAAATATGAATATGTAAAAGGGACTTGGGGAGAGGGGTTGATAAGAGGGAAAAAATGGAGATGGGGGCAAGACTAGTCAGAATGCAATGTGTACTTCTATGAAAACATCAACGAACAAATTTAATTTAAAAAATTATCCAAGCATAATTTCTTAAGGTGCTGAGTAATTTGGTATTGCATTCTGAACATGGAGGCAAAAATGCCAGATAAGGTGATTTTTCTTGAAAAAGGTAACATTCCACTTAATAAATTGGATATGGGAACACCCCTCATTGCACTAAAATGTGATCAAATAGAAGAAAAATATACTTTATATGTTAAGAATTTAAGGGAAGCTTTTATATTTGTACCTATATTTAAGAGTATAGGAGAGTTTTTTAAAAATCACTTCTGAAACTTCCTGACATGTATATTGTACCATGAGGGGAAAGAATCAACTATTTGCTACCAGTGCTAAGAATTCTAATATTATCTTTTCTCTAAATGTTTTATTTAGTTTTTTTCTTTATGTGTATTAGTGTATTGCTGTTTGTATGTAAGTGCCATTTCATGCAATGTTTGTGAAGGTCAGAAGACAACACTGGATCCTCAGGAGCTGGAGTAATGGATGGTTGTTAGATGCCGCGTGGGTACTGGGACTTGATCCCAGGCCTTCCGCAAGAGTAATCAGTGCTCTTAACTACTGAGCCATCTCTCCTGTCCCCTAATAGTATCATTAAAATGAAATAAGAATGTCTATTTGGCCCTGAGAAGTATGAATTTACAAATAAAATGCCATCTACATTTATTATGCAATAGAGTGACAGCCGGTAAACTGTATTTTGACATATCTATTTGAAATGTCTGCCTAATAGTCTCAAGCTCTAAATAATTTGTTAAATAACTTTTTAGATAGAGAGTTTTATATAGATGGCTATTTTTGAAACTATGTAGCCAGTAAAATGTCTACAGTAACTACCTAGGAAATAAAATGGCTTGTGTACGTATACATTTTGGTATTATCAAATTATGTGCTTTTTTTACTTTATTTGTTTTTATTATTTATTTATTCATTTATTTTTGAGGCAGGTTCTGGCTCTGTAGTCTAGGCTAACCTAGAACTCACTACGTAGCTCAGGGTGGCCTTGATACTGTGGCAGTCTTCTTGCCCCAGCTCCCAAGTACCGGGATTATACAGGAGAGCCACCATTGATTTCAGGGTGTAATTATGGTCTAGTGAGAAAATTTACCTTATCTTTCTCTTTTCTCTTATGTCAAATGGAAGAAAAGTTTGGAAAGTCATTTTGCCATTGTCTTAAAATTTTCAAACTGTGTGGTGGTACACAGCTATAAGTCCAACACTCCAGCAGTGGAAGCAGGAGGGTTATTAATGAAACTGTTCCATAAAGGAATAAATAAATGTTGAAGAAAAAGACTTTCTAATACATTATGTGCTTTTCTTCTTTTGTATCTATGCAAGAGAAAAGATTATTCTAAAACATTCACTTCATTGTCAAGAGGAAAACAAATAGCTTGGGCTTCAGACTTGGCCACATCCAAGTTGTAAATTATGCACCTATAACTTTAAGCTGCATTCTCACAAGAAACTGGATTTTTTTTTCTCTTTTGTCTTGGAAATGTATAAATAATGTCTGTTTTAAAAGGCTATTTTAGGACAAAGAAACATGTAAAGTTCTTAACAAAGCTCCAACTGAATAGTATGCACTGAACCACATAAATGTATAGATGCATGTGCACATACATAACATAAATATTACAAATATTTAATGCCATGTTTATTTTGTATACAGGCATATATCTCTTAATAATAGTGATACATTTTGGCTCCAGTGGATGGAACCATACTGAAGGCATGTGGGAACAAAAGTTTGACTCTACATGCCGGAAGCAGATGGCAGAGGGGATATAAATCCAATCAAAATCCACTATAGGAAATTCACAAAAATTGAATAAGTACATATATTAAAAAATAGAAATACATTTTAAGAAACTCCTTGTGGGCAATCTCACTGCTCCCTAGTACACTTACCCAAACTAAGATAGTTAAGATGTCATAAGGCAATAAAACCTATGGAACCACAGTCTTGCATGCCATTTTTTGTTGATTGAAATGTATCACTATGTCAGATTCTGTGTGTGTGTGTGTGTGTGTATGTGTGTGTATGTCTGTTTGTGTGTGTATGTGTAAGTGTTTGTGTCTATGTAAAACCTCTAATGAATATGCCAGTTCTAATTCAGCATATCTAAGGTGAAAGCCATCATCTTTGCATTTCTTTTTTAATATTTTATGTATTGATTTTATGTGTGTTGCCTGCACGTATGTGAGTGCACCTGTGTTGTGCAATGCCCACGGAGGTCAGAAAAGAGCATCAGATTCCCTGGAACTGGAGTTATGGACAGTTTTGAGCCACCATGTGGGTGCTGGGACTCAAACCCAGGTCCTCTGAAAGGGTAGTCAGTGTTCTTAACCACTGAGCCATCTCCCCAGCCCCATCTTTACATTTCTAACAAGTTCCTTCAGAGTGCCAGGTCACAGAACACATACTAGGTAGCAATGCTGTAAATGATTGCTAACTGTTGACTCTTTCCTCCTAACAAAGGTTAATGATTAAAAAAAAAACAAGTTTACACAAACACAAAAATATTTTATGAGAAAATGTATGTATCAACATGTTATGCAAAAATATAGCCTCCCAAATATTTCTACATACAGTCCCTAGCATCTGTAAATATGTTATGCTCCATTGAAATAGATAAACAATAAAAGAGATGAAATAAATTTCACTAGTCAACTGACCCTAAAAAAAGATTAGCCTGGATTATCAAAGTATATCTAGTAAAATCAAAGATCTTCTAAATATTGAAGATGCAGTCAAAAGAGCAGAGAAGAACAGAGTCAGAGGGAGGCCTGAAGATTCTACTAGCTGACCTTGAAGATTACTGAAAGGCCAGGAGCCCAAGAATAACTTCCTCTCATTTCAAGCCACTTACCTCATGGTAATCTGTTACAGCAATAATAGAAAAGTAATTCAATAATAACACGAACTAATCACAGAAGACAGATTGCAAATGTTATTACTTACAGGCTGAGATCTTACATGTACAAAATGAATAACAGTACCTCTGAAGAGAAAGTATTGAAAATTATTTTGTTATTAATTGGATATTAAGATTAAGGTATTACTTTTATATTAATAATAGCAAACCTAATTAAGTGTCATGGTATTTTAAGTCAGATGCTAAGTTAAACACTGCACACTAGTTATGTAGCTCTCACTGTAATTATATGAAATGGGGGATCATCTTGTTATAAAAAATGTAACAAATACAGTTTTTAAACTTTTCCCAGGGTCATGCCAGTAGTAAACAACAAATGAGACACGCCCTCAGGTGCAACTCACACCAAAATCCAGCCTGCTCTATCATGAGAATAATTATGACTGAACACATTTTATTTTTTGTTTCTTTAAAGTTGCAGAGCTAGGTAAGATATGCCAGTTAAAGGGTACTATGGAATCTAGCCTAGGGGAAATCTAGAACATTTAGTAAAAGAATTAAATCCATGCAAAATACCTTTTAATATTTGAACAACTTAATTTTACAATTTTGTTTTCATTCAAATGTCTACTTTCTCTTATTTCATTGTAAGTGTAGAACATTCTTCTATTTTTTCTTGGTTTATTTTTATTAACTTAAAAATGCAAAGAATCCACAGCAATAATCTTGACTAAACGGTAAAACACCAATAAGTGATAGAGTATACCGACTATCTGAAAAACAAAACTACCTCACCTAAAATGATGATGTTAGAACAAATTTGAAAATGTAACCAGTAGCTAATGATCACTGAGCCTCTTTCATTAGCTATATGAGAAACTTAAGCATAAACAAAAATTATTACCTGTAGCAACATGACGTCCCATTCCAAACACGGCATAAACGATGGCAGGAAACAAAGATCCATATAAACCAAAAACCGGATGTACTGATGAAAGAACAGCAAAGGACAACCCTGCAGAGAAGTTCAGAGCCATTAGGACCATCTTACAGCCCCAAGACATAACCAGTTACACAACAGAACAGATACTGATTCACCTAAAGCTGCAATAAATGTTTAAATGTCTACGTTTTTAACCAAACAAGTTCCTACCATTATTGTTCTAAACGAGAGAAAAGTTGGTCATTAGTTCATATGTATATTTCAGTTCCCAACACCACTGTGTTTTCCTCTTAAAATTCAGTGATGTCGGCATGAAAATACTGCCTTGGAGCATCTTGTTGGTAAAAGATAGGTGTGATAACATAACCAAACTCCTCTAGGCACACTTGAATTTTAGAATCATTTTATACACACCGTTTTATTTGTACACTAACGTCTATGATGCAGTCAGGAACAATAGCTTTACCACCAAAAAGCCTGACAGGAATGGGGTCTGGGCCTGCATATCGGATGCCATTTGGCTGCAATTTGCACTATCCACCGCAGACAGTAAGTGTAAGCACCAAGCTGGAGCAGTCAGAGCTTCTCCTGCCCTGTGAATAGCTTCTTAGTTATATAACTAACTACAATGAAACTCATCTCTCTTTAGTATAATGAAAATAAAATACATAACAAAGTTAGTTTAAGAAGTTAGTTTCTGGGTTGGAGACATATATCAGCAGATAAGAAGCTCCTGCTGCCCTTGCAGAGGGTCTAAGTTGGATTCAAAGTATCCATGTGGGTGGCTTACAATTGCTTGTAACTCCAGCTCCAGGGGATCCAACACCCTCTTCTGGCTTCTGTATGCACCCTCAGACACATGCGCACATACATATTATTAAAAAATAAAAGGCCAGGTGTGGTTGTGCACGCCTTTAGTCTCAGCACTCAAGAGGCAGAGGTAAGTGGATACCTGTGAGATCAAGGCAAGCCTGGTCTCCATAGCAAGTTCCAGGCCAACTGGGGCTACAGAGAAACTCTGTCTCAAAAAGACAAAATAGAATAGAATAGAATAGAATAGAATAGAATAGAATAGAATAGAATAGAATAGAATAGAATAGAATAGAATAGAATAGAATAGAATAAAATAATAAATCTTTCTCAGAAAGTTTAGTTTTTCTAGATCTCACATTCATGTCAATTTAAGAAGAGAACAATCAGGCTAGAGAGATGTCATAGCTGTTAAACATACAGGCTCACAACAACAACAAAAAAGTAGGGTCTTTTTTTTTTTTGCTTGTTTGGGTTTTGTTTGTGTTTTACTTTGGTTTTTTTTTTTGTTTGTTTGTTTGTTTGTTAAAATGGGTCACACCATTTAACCCAGGCTATGTTTGAACTCAGGAAATCATTCTGCTTCAGCCTACTTAGTGCTGGGGTAAATTGCATGAGCAACCATGTACCACTTATATTTAATCCAATGTTTTTAGAAAGATCATTGGCTCTATAAACATGAAATGTCATTCTTGTTGAGTCTTTAAGAATAATCTTGAAGGTCAGAACTGATGTACACATCTGTTTATCCTGTGAGATACTGATATGGAGCTTACACTAGAAGCAAATGAGAGTGTATGCTTGCTAATATGGTAGTGGGCAGTGACCAGCATAAAGCAGGAATGAGCTCATTCAATTGTATAGCACTTCAGAGCTTTACCCATCTACAAATAAGAACTATAAGGCCCCAAGAACACCCTACTCACATACATACCTTAACAGAGGAGAGAGCCAGATAAAATTTCCTTTTTCTGACTCATTTGTTATTATGGCTAATATATTGACTAGATAGATATTTTCACATACACACATATGCAAACTAAAATATGTATGTTAAATCCTCCCACATAGAGAACTAGGCTTGTAAATTAGCAGCACCATCTGACCTTTTACTATATTTAATAAAACAGTATTTACCACTAATATGAACAGAATTGCAACTCTATAATGCTATTACTTAGAAGATATTGCTATTAATGTTGACAAATACTATTTTTATTTTCAGTCTTTGATAAGAATAATTAAAATACAAATAAAAGTATTAAGGAATGAAGAGCTGGCGAGTTGGCTTAGCAGTTACGAGCACCTGCTGATCTTCCAGAGGACCTGGGTTCAGTTCCCAGCACCTACATGGTACGGCTCACAACAATCCAAAACTCCAGTTCCAAGGGATCTCATGTGCTCGTCTAGTCTCCTTGGGCATCACATGCATATGTGCACCTACACAGATGCAGACAAAACACTTATAACATATAAAATAAAAATAAATAATTCTTAATTGTCAAGGAATTAAAACAAAATGATTGTACCAAAGAATCTCAAAAAGTGATAGGGAAAGAAAAAAGAATATATAGATGATAAGATATATTAAAAATGGATAAGTAGATGATAGATAGATGATAGATAAATAAACAAAAATAAATAAATAAATAAATAAATAATAGATTGATAGATGATAGATGATAGCTAGATAGATGATAGATAAATGGTAGGCAGGTAGCTAGACAGATGATAGGTAGGTATGTACGCAGGTAGCTAACTAATAGACAAATAGATTTGATAAGTACAGAGATGATATGTAGATAGATGATAGGTAGATAGATGATAGATAGATAGATAGATAGATAGATAGATAGATAGATAGATAGATAGACAGATATAGATAGACAGGCAGACAGATTGACGGATGGTGTGTGTGTGTGTGTGTGTGTGTGTGTTAATCTCTGAGATAAAACATTCCATTTCAATGGGGAGATCTTTAAGGCTCAGGATCCTCTAAAGTAAGGTGAAACACTTGATTCTTCAGGGAAGCTTACTAAAACTCAAGTTGTAAAAAACTCAGAAGCTTCAGGAAGTCCCTGGAGCTGACCAAACCTATCTTCAGTAAGGACTGATGAACGATACTCTCAGACAAACTGAACTGCCTAGGAAAGACACTCTAATCTGTTGAGTTTCCTGTTAGTTGTGCAGTGCACCCTAAAGTTTCATCTGTTGTGAGCCATTACCCAGTGGGCTTCTGGCAATGCAGCTGTCTTTGTGTTATTTTCCTCCTAAAAGTAATTCCTCACTGATACTCCTGTAAGTAACCCCAATAAAATTCCCTGGTTCACCAAATTAGACTTTGATAGTATCCTTATTTTGGTTTGTCCTTGGTTCCCTATCTGGGGCAAGTAGACATTTGTTTACATCTCCCCAGGAAGTGTCAAACAACAGATAGCTAGTTAGGAGAGAACTCAAAAATCCGGATGTTCAGATGGCTGCTTATTTTTAAATTTCAAATACTACCCAATGGCAGTGTAAAATCATATAAGGTCAATGCACCCACAAAAGAACGGTTTCTAGAAATCCTTGAAAGATGTAATACACTTTGCAGGTATAGTAACAATCAATTATAACCATGGATAAAAGACTCCAAGTACTATATCCTAACATCAAAATATCAGTATGTCTCAAGCCGATGGAAAACTATTGGTCTTTTGAGAAGACTTTAATGTTGAAATGAAATGCTCTCTGTTGCCTGCCTGGTTAAGCAGTGAGGCTGAGACCACTTTTCATACAGAAACATGTTCAGGACACAGCGCTCTGCAGGTAGCTTTAGTTCCTGGGATAGAGATTTATTTAGGATGCTCACATGAGATAGCATCGAGGGATGAAAAATAGTAGGAACTTCAGGTACCACAGGGAAGTATTAAAATGTATCTGTGATTCAGGATAGCAGTTCAGGACCTCCTCTCCCTCCAGCTTCCTCTGTGTTGCAGTTCAATAAGTTGATTAGGAAAAATATCCAGGCCATGAGGTAGCATCTTTAGTCAACACACATGCCACCATTATAGGCATGGACTGCATTCTCTTTGGTGCCCCATGAGACAAAACTAACCAGAGAAAAGGATTTCCCTCTCACTGAGACCTAGAGCAAAACTTAGAACGTATCCATTGCTGGAGGAGAGAAAAAGAGGATGTGAGTCACAGAGGCAGGAGTTTCCTGGGAGCATGGCTGTCTCATTGACTTTCTGTGGGCTGGAAATATCTGCTCATAAATCCTATAGGCAGAACTGGACAGGAAATTCAACAGTACGCAGAGCTCCCTCGGGATGCTGGAAAGGAATCTGATACCTCTACTGCCTGGTCTGTGACAGCATAGAACTGCTGTTCCTTTCATGTTTCTTGATCATTCCTGCTTGATATATTAGCAGACACCCAAAGTCTGACTAGAAGTAAATTTAGGGATCTCAAAGAGACCAAAGGGAGGAAAGTCAAAAATCACGACTAAGAGCTGGCTGTACCTGAAGGAAAATGACAGTCTCAGAAATGGGAGAAAAAGAAAGAAGGTAATGAAGATACACACCTTTTTTCTCAATCTATAACTTCAAAATTTTTATTATATTTTATCTATTTAAATTGGGACTGGCACATGCCATAGCACACATATAGAGGCTAGCAGACAAATGCTGGGAGTCAGCTTTCTCCTTCCATGTGAGTCTCTGGTACTGAACCCAAGTCATCAGGTTTGAAAGCAAGCACCTTCACCTACTTTTAAGCTATATAATGAGAACTTTCAAAGAGATGTGTTAGAAAAGAATAACAAAACTTCTAATATTAAAAATATGTACAAAGCTTTAGAAAATGTATGTTTTATATCCTAGAAGCAAATTATTGTTAATATTGTGTCTAGAGAGATGTAACTAGCTGAACATAGGTCACTCCTTGTCCTTTATTTCAGATAATGTTGATTTACAGGAAATAGTGGCCAGAGAAGTTAAGAAGTATCATCATATACATGTATGCCTTAATATAGTGACAAGGGCACTAGGTCACTGTCCTATGGCAAAGAATACATACCTTATACTATGTGTTAAAATTAACTTTGGGATGAATGAACATGGAGATCCCTAAATATTACTATGGAGATGGTTAAGATACATTTTGGTACAATTATCCTACAAAATATTTCACAATTATTTTTTGGTTGACTTTGAACAAATTCCATTAATCTGGAGGCATATCTGTGATATGTTATGACATGTGAAAACAAGTTTCAGGAT